TAGTCGCACCACTCAGAGCGGTGTGATTCTGAGGAAACGATAAACGTCACGCAATTTTTGCGTTTTAAAGAAGCGTTACACAAGGTGTACATGTACTTTCCCCACGTCAGGAGGTGGTAAGTTTCGCAGTGCTGGCTATTTTTAAGTGCACGCGTTTGATCATAATACTTCGAAAAACCGGTAATTCTTTGGAAGGACAAGAAAATCAGCATGTATCAGTAGGATTTGTCGCGCCATTAAAAAGCAATTTCAGAACTTTCTTTAGACATAAAAAGACTATTGAATTTCTAAAACCTAAACTGCTGTCGAAAAAGAAATGGCCAAAATCTTAACTCTAGCCTCGTCTTGATACAGGGGATAAAAATGGTTCGAGAAAGACATAAAAATGAAACAGATAAAAAAAATACGTAAAAAATAGATAAAAATTTTTACTGCGCTCGTGAGCCACTCATCCTGCATCTGACACTAGGTACCCTAATACAGCTAAATGCAACCAAAGCTATCATTTGTTGAAAAAAATCAATGAAAAAAAAAATTGCCCACCGCTGATAGTGATACGTCATCTTCTTGCGTTCTTTTTTCGTTTTCAGTCTGTTGCGTTTTACAGTTTTCAGGATCATCGCACTTATCGTCAGTCAGCGGTGGGTCATCTGCTACAGAAGAAAGAACAGAGCCACTGTTAGCATTTTCTTCATTTTCAGATGAAACACATTTCTCACTGTCTGCGTCGTCGATGTCCTTGAAATAAATAAATAAGCTTAATCTGAGCAATCAGTCAAATTTGGAAAGAGGAAAAAAAAAAACACGGAAAAAGTTACGAATTGGGAACAAGACAGTAAATATGAAGATGCCGTGTTGGTGATATTCCTGCAATGCACCACTCAGAACTATGCCAGGCCCTTCCATCTTGAGCTGCATGTGTACCCTTCTTCAGGTGTAGCTTCTTTTTGTTGCGAATACAGTAAAAGGAAATCAACAGCACCTCCTCATCAACTTCCTCATGATTCGCAGCAATTTCATTCAGTAAAAGGCCGTTGCCATCGCAAGTGCATTCGATCAAACAGTGAGTTTCACATTCCTCATCTTCATGAAGTGTAAAAATATCCTGTAGTTCTTCATCGGAAAAATGAGTTAAAGCTGCAAATTAAAAATTTTAGCTGACGTAGGGAAACTGCTTCAACAATCAGTAATCTTATAATTAAATCAAAAACAGATACTGTAACGATCAAGAGGAGGGCCTGGGCAGCTGCGTGAAAGCGCTCCAACAGCTCATTATTAGTACAACCGAAAAACGAATCAGAAAAAAACACACAAACCCCGAAATTACCCGGCAACTGCTCCAAGCTGCTACCGGATAAAAGGCGACAATTGAAGCGGCAACAGCTTCAAGCTGCCGCGGCACACTTTTTGATTCCAAAAAACAATTTCTTATTTCATTTCTAATCACCACATTAAGTATCACGGAGGAGAGAACTCGAGTCAAGAGACGGGATATTTGCATATCACAGGGAAACGAAGGG